GGAGAACCTGGATTGATGTCTGGTCCCTCTTAGTCCCAAGAGCGAACAACCCCCTTAACAAAGAGCACAAACAAAAGCCTTCCCCCCCCCCAAGATTTGAAAGTATCTTGTCCCTTTATTGGTACTTTGGGTCAGGTGTCAGCCAGGTTACCTGAGCTTCTTAACCCTTTACAGGTAAAAGGATTTTGGAGTCTCTGGCCAGGAGGGATTTTATAGTACTGTACACAGGAGAGCTGTTACCCTTCCCTTTATAGTTATGACAATTATATGTTTAGTTTTGCCTTTGCTTTACTTTAAATTAAATTAAAATGACACAGTCACCACCACTTGGACACAGAGTCATTACTGAAACTGTTATAACTTACTTCAAATTCAAGTAAAAATTTGAATACCCACATAATATCATGGATAATGTATATTCTACTTATTATGGTCTGAGAAGTAATGCTATGGGGTCTCACTGTGCTAGGTGCTGCACAAACATATAGTAAAGTATGGTCCCTGCCTCAAAGAATTTATAATCTTGAGTCCTGGCTCCTGCAACTGACTTGACATGTGTGGAGCCCCATTGACTTCAATGGACCTCCCAACAGGTGTAAAGAACTGCCCACGTGCATGCAGTTGCAGGATTGGGGCTCGGGCTTGAGAGACAAGATGTAAATGGTGGTTGAAACAAATAAGTTACACTGGAAGGAGGAAGACAGTGTATTAGTAAAATGAACGTCTCTGTACGAGAAAGAGAGACCGACCTGCTAACTTAGTTCTAAATATTGCTATGATTTTTTTGTGTGTGATTATTTTCCTTAAGTGCAACACTGATGCATAGATAATAATATAGAGGAGATCAAAGGGCTAGAGAAATGCCGTAGTCTGACTTTCCTTAGCTTGGCACACAACAGGATCACTACAATCAGTGGTTTGAAAAACTTACCTGTCAAAATACTCTGTCTGGTAAGTGATGAGTTAATTTTTTTAATAAAAGCTCTCTTCTTCAAATGGCCTTGTTCAGCTCCTTAAGAAATGTATTTATGATAAGTCGTCTGGTTTCCATAGGTCTGTTTATAGTGGACACAAGTAAACTTTGGTTAAAATTTTGCTTTTGTACTATATACTGTTTTAGTAATGTCCTATCTCATTTTCTCTTTTAGAATTTAAAAATATCAACAGTGTGTGGGCCCTAAATATAATGTGTGAAAGAATCAAAACTTTATTTTGAAAGAATCAGATGTGTATAGAAGAAATTAATTAATTAAAACAGTGATGTTTTTAAATTGACATTCCCTTGCAAAGTTGTTTTGGTTTACAGTAGCACTGTGCTAGGATATGAGGGGTGAAAGGGAAACTGCCCAGCCTATATTTAAAAAAAATTTTTTTTAAATTAGTGGAGATATCCTATCTCCTAGAACTGGAAAGGACCTTGAAAGGTCATCGAGTCCAGCCCCCTGCCTTCATTAGCAGGACCAATTACTGATTTTTTGCCCCAACTCCCTAAGTGGCCCCCTCAAGGATTGAACTCACAACCTGGGTTTAGCAGGCCAATGCTCTAACCACTGAGCTATCCCTTCACCCTGAGTAAAATTCAGTAAGTTAATAACATCAGTTATAGAAGGAAACTTATTTTGAGGCTCTTGAAGTCAGAGTGGCAGCATGGCCCAATTAATAGGTCATGGGCCTTATTTCAGGATACGTTGGTTCTGTTCCAGACTCTGACACTATGTGGTTTACTTATCACAGAATAGAATATCAGGGTTGGAAGGGACCTCAGGAGGTCATCTAGTCCAACCCCCTGCTCAAAGCAGGACCAATCCCCAACTAAATCACACTTACCTCAGTGTGCTTTGTGTCTCAGTTTCCCCTTCTGTAAAATGGGGATAATACCTAGCCTTATTTGTAAAGCCCTTTGTGATTCTTCAGTGAAAATTACTATGTAAATGCTAAGTAGTAATAGCTGTAAGTGGTGTTAGAAACATAGGTAAGAATATTTTTAAATATGAGCTGAAAGTGTGCTTTTAAGTCATTGTAAAAGCACAAAGTACATTTTTCCACCTCTTCATGTAATTTTCTTTGTAATTATGATCTTTAAAATAATGTAATTGATATCTAAAAGAACTTGATCTGAAAATACATATGTACATGCTTAAGTTTATACACCTTAAGAGCAAATAAATACGTAAGTGTGTCATGTAAAGCAAGTTCTTTATTTTTATGTCTTTATTTGTCAAAGACAAATGCAAAGTGCTCCACTTAGGAAGGAAAAATCAGTTTTACACATACAGAATGGGAAGAGACTGTCT